GCACGAAGAAAACTAAAATCGAAAGTCTTGTGTAAGCCTTTTTCTAGGATTCATACAAACTTGTATTCCAAATGAGAATCCACATAGAAAATTTGCATGGAGAAAGCTTTTATTTTAACTTTCTTCTTCATCGTAAACTTTGACATGTTTGCCTGAAAGTTAGTTATGTCACTCTTTAGATCGAAGTACGCTCGTTACAGTTTCAGCCATTGGAAAGTGAGAGGAGTTGATAATCGAGACACATTCTGGACTCAGTGCGAAGATATTTTCCTCCTTTCGGAGTCAAAGGTTTCCTTTCTTGCAGCGTATTATACCTAGGGGATCAAGTACAAGGTCGGGAGGCCGCCGACTAAACAAGCACCAAGTAAACCTTTTAAACCCTAAAATCGACCAAAGTTTATTTAATTATTTATTTTTGTCTTGTGCCAGACAATTTTTTTTCCAGTGTTCAGAATACCACTGAACCTAATCGCCTTCCGGAAGTTAATGGAATTTTGACGAACAACCAGTGCTTGAACTTTGCCTTCTGCCCTCAATTCACCACATAAACGTTTTTTTTTTTTTGTTTTTTTTTAAATCGCGTTTATTTTTCTTCAACGTCTGTTTTTTACAACTCGTTGTACGATTTATTAAATCCACATCTGAGACTTAATTCAGAAACACTCTAGCTTAAATGTCTCCTATGCCTTATATTGCGGGAAGGTTAATAAAAAAATGATTCGCATATGAAAACATTTTGATAATAAGGACTTTATAATATACTCGCAGTAGAGCCCGGCGTTGCCCGGGATTGTAACAGTAAGAGATAGATCAAGTATCGACCATCATAAAGACTGAAAAATAAAATTGACAAAGATTATTGTTTAAGGTTGACGGACACGCATGTCTTAATCAGTTTTATACTTTTTTTTTTTTTTTTTACGAATTGGTCAAACCCAAGCTCAAACAAAAACATTGTTTTCAATCGTTATGAGTCTACCGATTGAATAGAATTTTATTATAAACAATTGTCTTGTAAATGGAATTTTTAAAGCATTCTGAATTTAAAAATAAAGAAAAAAGTGTGCAAGACAATAAGAAACACTACCTGCCAAAAAAAAAAAAGTGAAGTTTTGTTGAAATCGGTTGAAAAATGTAGGAAATCCGATCCCATATATAAACGAACACGCACACACACAAACAACGTGGGTTTTATAAGCATAACTCGATATGACTCCTCCCCCTTTCATTCTTGCGATGCCTCTTAATCGTGTTTTCAAATTGATTTCATGCAAAAGCAATTGTGTTTTTCCAATTTTTGGCGCTGTCAGAACCACCGCAAGGTAATTTTACGTAGTCCTGTGAAGTTTTGTTGAAATCGGTTGAAAAATGTAGGAAATCCGATCCAATATATAAACGAACAGACACACACACACAACCTGGGTTTTATAGTAAATATGATGACGTTATTTTTTATGGCGTGGATAAACACGTTTTAATATGAGGTTCTATTAGACTCCAAATGATAGATTGGTCTACTGTTGATAAATTATAAGCTTAATACTATGTCTTGCTGGGAGTTCCTATTTTTTCTCGTTCTTCTCTCATAACTTTTCTTTCTTTGTACTTTGGTTTTTCGCGTGCATATGATTTTCCTCAGTGAATATTAAAGTTTCGCAATTGGTTTAAATTCGAAGTTATTTTTTCTTTCTTTATATGAATTAAAATAAGTTATTTATTTATTTTGTTTTTAAAGCGTTTCACCCCAAGCAAGGCGAGAAGCCACTAGGACGCAAGGGGTTACAGAAAATTTGGAGCAAGCTCAGATAGAAGTGATAGAAGAAAGGATGAGGAGAAGGGTAGTGGATAGATCAAGGCAACTGGAGATGTCGATTGACATTACATTTGAATAACTGGAGACTATAGATCTCAGGGAAACTGGAATAGGGAAGGGAGTTCCACAGGCGAGAGGTGCGAGACATGGAGCTATTGGAGTTAGAGACGGCTACATTTAGGAGTTCCGACAGTGAAGGGGTGAGAGCGGGATGCCAGCCTCGTAGGGCGCTTGAACTCTGGGAACCAGCGAATGCAGCTCCTCGGAGCAATTGCCATGAAAGCATTTGTAAAACAGACAGAGAGAGGCGACGGTGCGTCTGTGAGAAAGTGACTGTAGACGAGATGCCAGATCAGGGCCAATTATATTGCATATCCGCCTCTGCAGCATATCAAGAACCCCGAGGCAAACAGAAGGGGCTCCAGACCATATATGGCAGCAATACTCCATGCAAGTGCGAATTGTTGATTTGTAGATCTGCAGGATCGATTCCGGGGAGAAAAATTTCCTGGCGCGGTACAGGGAGCCAACTTTTCTTCAGTTATTTTGTTAATGTGGTAAAATTTAGTTTCATTTGTCTGTTCGTATACTTTAGAGAGAGAAAAAAAAACAATGGCAAAATGGGTAAAGTTTTTGTGTAACGTGTTTTGTCCTTTAGGACAAGGGTCGGCAACCTACGGTACGCGTGCCGCACGTGGCACGCCAAACAATTTCCAATGGCACGCAGTCGCAAATGACATCACAAAGTTCGAACCAATAACTACTACAATGCAAAGAAGATATTTAGTTGTTTCAAAATTGCTCATTCGTTGGACTTCCATTAATAAGAAAAACTTTTAAAAACTTTTAAAATTAGTTAATTTCTGCTAATGTGGTTTACATATTATTGTATATATTACTATATAAAATATATTGTAGAACATATATATTGACCTTGACTTGTATAAAAATACGTATGTTGTTGGCACACTGAATAATTTTAAAACCCTAAGTCGGCACATAGTCAACAAAAGATTGCCAACCCCTATTCTAAGCTACGCTTAGATGCGGCACAAGGCCTAAAGTATGGGGAACCCAGTGAGGACCGAACTCACTTCTCTGTCATAATTGTTCTAACGAAAGAAGCTTATTATATAATATCCACTTTAAGATACCGTCTCACGTACTGAATGATATTTCACTTGTCTATTTTATATAATAAAAACTTCTAGAGTTTTGAGTCTTTCTTTGCATAGGGTGCTGTAGGGCAGAGGTTGGCATTTTCCAATGGCACGCAGCCGTAAATGACATCACGAAGTTCGAACCAATAATTACTACAATGTAAAGAAAATATTTAGCTGTTTTAAAATATTATATATATATATATATATATATATATATATATATATATATACACTAGCAGCATGGCCCGGCGTTGCCCGTGCTTCATTAAAAAATTGTACGACTCATACAGCAATCGCTATCACTTGACTTAAGATATTTTTGCTCTTCCTTGCCTTTAAACGAGTGCCTTTTGCCGTGCTGATGTTGCTACATACCTTACTTCTTGCCTATCACACACTGCGAATTTTTTCTAAGCTCCATACTAAACATTAAATCTGTTACGAAAAAAGAACAAAACAAAATGAACACAAAACGATCAGCTTTAAAAAAGGATTCGTAACTGGAAAAGTCGAATGAAAAAAGAATGTTATCAACAAATACTTTTTCACACCCAACCCAGTTCTGCGGAATCAGAATCAACGTTGAGTTTAAGCAAGCGAATGATTCAATTGGAGTAAAGTGCCATGCAGATTTAAATTTTTCCCACTTGCGACGAATGCAGCTATCGACTTTTTTGCATGCTAGTTAACATTCGTGTCAATCAGCTGTTGGCTCTCACGCTGGCCAATAGAATCTTCTTGCCTATTCGTGGCAGCCAGCTATTGGCTCTCACTCTGACCAGTAGAAAATAGCCGCAAACTACATAAAAACTGCCGTAGAAGCATGAAAAAAAAAAACGATTATTTCCACTATCGATGGGAGTTGGGAAATAAAAAAGTCGGTCTTGGCCTTCCCGCTAACTTGGAGCATGTGCATGTAAATTTTGGTACAAATCCGTCGAAAATTGCGGCCGTGCATTCGTTACACACGCTCACATCCTGCCTTTTATAGATAGACGTATTATATATATATATATATATATATATATATATATATATATATATATATTGTTACGAACCCCGATCTAAATTTATTATAAAAACTATACGATAGCATATATTTTAGAAGCATTCTAAAACAAAGATCCCAGTACTTACAGAAAATGTAAAGATAGTAAACCCAAAGAGATAGGTAGACTTAGTGGCGACAAGGATTGATCAGGGTGTAACCCTTTCCTTCTCTTTTGGTCGAGATGTTGACAGCATGATTTACGTGGATAGAATCCGGTTGGGAGAAGTTGAAACACTTTAAACTAAACTTTCTCAAATCCTGAAGACATGAGAGAAGATCGATGAGCTCATTCCACCCATAATGGGAAAAAGTTAGTACTTTGAAAATTGACCACGTGACAAGAAGAAAACGGAAATATAGTGAAATGGAAAAGTTTGTCTTCGTCCAGGCCTGCGGGCTGGACGGACGTTTGGCAAATGTCTCGGTATCTGGACCGAAAAGATGTGTTTGCAAAATTGTGAGGAGAATTGGTTTCCCAGTCGAATAGATGGACCCGTTTTGACGACGTAGACGGAACGCCGCTATATCGAAGAGAAAGAAAGTAGTTTCAACAGTCACCAAGCCCTTAAACGAAGCACGAGATGGAAGAGAAAGAAAGAAAGCACAGACCATCTCGAGCGAAAATGCCGTTATGTCAAGACGAGAGAAAGAGGGAACGCACTTTCTACTTAATCATCAGCCGAGCCCCTAGACGACGAAAAGAGAAAGAGAGGAAGTAAGAGAAGACCTCAAAAAGAGACCCTTATAAAAATAGAAAAGGAAAAAGAAAAGTAGGTAAGACTGATACATTGTTAGTGAAGAAGGACTTTATTCTGAGTTAAGATTATTTTCCTTGTACCCCGTTTTTGTTTAAATGTACCTCCTTTTTCGTATTTGTACTTTCATACAAATTTAGCATGAAATCTTTCTATTATGTTTCTTTTCACGTTGTCTTAAAATGTTGATGTTTTATGAATCCGTGCAGGTATAGCACATGATCTATAAATTCGTGGCAGTATGGCACAAGGCCATACGCTGAGTTTTATTTTTACCTTTCTTAGAGGATGCTCTCCAACCACTATTTTGTCCACAATGTTTAAATGTTTAGACTTGATATATTGTCATTTTTGTTTTGGCTGTTTTTTTTTTTTATCTTTTCCACGATTCCATGTTTGTTAATAAATTTATATTTCCTGTCTCCATTGTTGTTTGTCGCCTATCGTGTTTGTTCCTTAATCGATTTCGCACGGCCATGTCTGATCAATCGGAAAGAGACCATTGGGAAAGAAATATATTTTACAACAAAAAAAAATGTAAATTGTTAAAAAAACAAAATAACACAAATTACGATCCTCCTCTACCTCCGCTATCGATAAGGTTGGAGAGGAAGGAAAGAGAGGGGTTCGTAATAATATATATATATATATATATATATATATATATATCACATGTATTATATATATATATATCACATGTATTATATATATATATATATCACATGTATTATATATATATATATATATATATATATATATGTATTATATATATATATATATATATATATATATATCTCACATGTATATATATATATATATATAATTATTTATTTTTAAAAATTTATAACATAAATGTTATAAAATCACTACAAAAATATATATTATTTTGTTTCAACACCCTCATATATATATATATATATATATATATATATATATCACATGTATTTATATATATATATATAAAGTGTGAGAGAGACCCAATGAAAATTTTAGAGAGTTGAATGTGAAAATGCTACACTCTAAAGAACCAACATTTAAATAGAAGAAAAAAAAGAATACACCGCCAAAACCCGTCGCCGATATTTTCGTTACTGACAGTTTCATAAAATGCACAGTCTTCATGCACGTGCTACTAGGTTGGCATCTCGGTCCCACACTTTTACTGTCGAAACAGCTAATTGTAACTGCCTATTCTACACCAACAGCTTGGTCTCTCGGACTTCCCGACAGTGAAATTCCCTTCCTCTTACTTGCTTCCCTGATAACTCTAATCGTCAAAAATGTAAATGTAATGTCAATCGACATCTCCTGTTGCCTTTATCCCCGTTCTTCTTTTATTCTTTCCTCACCCCCCCACCCCCAAGACTCAGTCTTTTCCCTTAATTACACTCTCTGTAACCCCTTGCGTGCTAGTGACACTTCCGTTTTCTTGGGGTGAATTACTTAAAAATATGTATGGCGTGGGTGTTTATATACATACACAATTTGGAAAAGTATTCTTTGTTTTGCTGACATGTTTTATCTATGGACCCGCGTCATTCCAAAAAATGATTTCTTTTTCATAAAATCTGCATCCTTTTTCTGATAACTCCAGTTCATTGGCGAACATGCGAAAGCAGACATTTTCAAAATAGTCTGGTATTATCTGCCGACGTTATTCGTAGATATACAAATCATGTTCATGTAACTTTCTCAGCTTTTTCTCCCTTCTCCAGCCATTTTTATGTCTGTCTGTCTGTCACTCCACCAAGAAAGAAAGAAGCTTATTTTCTGACAGTTTTTCCTTTGTTTGAGGAAACCATTTTTTATAGCCTTGAATTCCCTGAATTTCTGCGTGTATATAGTACTTCAAAAATCACGGTCCATATCCAAATCAACAGCCGGAACCCTTTTAAAAACGGGGCCAAAAATAAGGCGGGGAGGGGGGTAAGTGTGTGGATGAGAGAAAAAAATTGAGTGAACTATGAGAAAAAAGTGGGAATTAATTTTAGGAAATAATACTTCATATTTTTTTTCTCTTTCTCTTCTTTTTTGTGTCTTGTTCTGCTTTTTTTTTTCTTCCCCCCCCTCTCTCTTTCCTTTTTCCTGATTCTTTCTTTCTTTTTCTTGTTTCTTCTTTTTTCTTGTCTATTTCTTCCTTTCATTCTTTTTTCTTGTCTCTTTCGTTTCTTGTCTCTCTCTTTCTTTCTTTTCTTTCTTTCTTGTCCCTCTCTTTCTTTCTTTCTTGTCTGTCTCTCTCTTTCTTTCTTTCTTGTCTCTCTCTCTCTTTCTTTCTTGTCTCTCTCTCTCTTTCTTTCTTGTCTCTCTCTCTCTTTCTTTCTTGTCTCTCTCTCTCTTTCTTTCTTGTCTCTCTCTTTCTTTCTTTCTTGTCTCTCTCTCTTTCTTTTCTCTCTTTCTTTCTTTCTCTCTTTCTTTCTTGTCTCTTTTCTTTCTTGTCTCTCTCTTTCTTTCTTTTCTTTCTCTCTCTTTCTTTCTTTCTTGTCTCTCTCTTTTCTTTCTTTCTTGTCTCTCTCTTTCTTTCTTCTCTTTCTTTCTTTTCTTTCTTTCTTGTCTCTCTCTCTTTCTTTCTTTTCTTTCTCTCTCTCTCTTTCTTTCTTGTCTCTCTCTCTCTTTCTTTCTTGTCTCTCTCTCTCTTTCTTTCTTGTCTCTCTCTTTCTTTCTTTCTTGTCTCTCTCTTTCTTTCTTGTCTCTTTCTTTCTTGTCTCTTTCTTTCTTGTCTCTCTCTTTCTTTCTTTCTTTCTTGTCTCTCTCTTTCTTTCTTTCTTGTCTCTCTCTTTCTTTCTTTCTTTCTTTCTTTCTTGTCTCTCTCTTTCTTCTCTTTCTTTCTTTCTTTCTTTCTTCTCTTTCTTCTTTCTTTCTTTCTTTCTTTCTTTCTTTCTTTCTTTCTTTCTTGTCTCTCTCTCTTTCTTTCTTTCTTTCTTTCTTTCTTTCTTGTCTCTCTCTCTCTTTCTTTCTCTCTCTTTCTTGTCTCTCTTTCTTGTCTCTCTCTCTCTTGTCTCTCTCTCTTTCTTTTTTCCTCTCTATTTTTTCCCTCTCCATGTTAATTTTAAAGCAATTTTTTTATCCTACCCAACAACTTACAAAGTTAATAAAATATAGAGAGAGATCCAGTCATTGATTGCTTTCTCTTGCTTTCATCAGACACTTACCGAAAATGTCGACCCTCTTCAAGTAGTATGAAAATTCCTTTCACAAGACACTTATCCTCCTCAGAAATATTTTCTGTTCGGGTAGATGGGTTTTATAAACCAACAAATTATGAACGAAGTTTTTTAGTCACTGTTTATTGAATTATAACAAGAGATTATATTATCAATTTTTTTTTATTTGATATACCTACATACGACCTATATCTCCGTCACTGGCTACACCCCTCACAAATCAGCAAAATCCCTGATTTTAATTCCTGTTTTTAGGAAGGATTACAACTTTTAATATTAAAGAACTCTGTTGATCTCTTGGACAAATTAAAACACACATTATTACCCTATTATAATTGTGCTTGTCTCTTGCTTCGTTAGTTCGCACGACTGTCACGTCCTGCCAATATCTCATAAATAATGAACTACATCGTTTCATCGCGTAGAAAGAGGGGAAAATACACTACTTAGTTTCAGTGAGAAAATGAAAGAAAGAAAAAAAGATAGAATTGGAGAGAGAAAGAATCAGGTTAAGCTGATAAGAGCAGATACTACACTTTGATCTTCGTCAAAAGGCCGAGAAGCGATTGTATTTATCCCGCCACCCGCTAATAAGGTCAGGGTTTTAAACTAGGGAAGGTTACGGAATAGAATGGCAATGAACGATAATAGGAGGCGAACAACGCATATAAGATTCGCCAGCTGCACGTAAAAGTAGTCAACTGCTAGAAGTGAGTCAAGTGAATTCCACAATGAATCTCCAACTGCAGGATATCTACCAACCGCCCCACGCGGTCAGATGTGGCACAAGGCCGAATTTTTGGGAATCCGAACCCGTAGGCTCGACCAAAAATTCCTCGTAGACATCGTTTTATACGGGGTCGGGCAGCTGCCTCCCGAGGCTACACTCTGCCTCTCGGCAAATCCCGTCTGGTGAGCCTCTCTGTCCGGAGGCAGAGAGTTTGACCAGCACAACTGGAGACGAATCTCCAACTGGAGACCAACATACAGTATTTACTACTGTATTTATGTGAATAGAGACACACCCATTATCGTTCGTAGGTATGCTATAACAGTCAGTTTAATGTGGGGAGCCCGAGAGCGTACACCAGGTCCAAGTTCAAAAATAGCCCAGACCCTGCAACCTAACATTACATTAAGATTCGACATTAAATAACTCCACGAGGGTTGACCTGTCCTAAAATTAACCAAGCTACTCAGTAGTGAGTCCTTTTCTCACTGGATACTTCATTAAAAAAAATCAACATTAAATAACCCAATGGAGGTTTCCATGTCTTTAGGACAACCAATATAAAATTACTGATTAGTTAGTTCGATCCTCACTGGGTGTCCTATACAAAATTCCACATTAAATAACCTAACAAGTGTTATTATAACCAAAATAAAATGTGAGATACCTAATGATATTATTAAGTCAGGTACAAGGCCTTTTCAATCTTGGGCTACCAAATGCAGATCGAACTCTCACTAATATCGTGGTCAGAGAGACTAGCTCGCTTGCTGATTACTTAAAACTCGCGACAGAAAATGAGACAAGCTTGCTAACCATTAGTTTATTTCGATATGCAGTCTAAGGATATTTTGATCATACGTCTTTGCCGTCAAAATATTATATAACTTCAAGACTTTGATAACTCGGTACAATTCAACGTAGAAATTGGACGACTCGTATTTCCATAATTGACCATATGTCTCTTGAATTCATTCCAGTTACGAGCAAGATTAATATCCCTGCACGTAGACGAAGAAAAAACCCCGAAACACCATGCTTGTATAAGCCATTTGCCTGCCAGTTGTTATTTTTAACGAATGCAGCTTTGATTTAGAAAAGAGACATTTCATGTCTCGACGTGGGAGTTTTCAGTTATTGATGTATACGTATGTAAAAGAGAAAACTTAATGTTTCACAGGCTCAGATAAATATCTTTCTTCGTGAGCACACACACACACACACACACACATATATATATATATATATTTAATCTCTGTAAAGGCAATATAAATAATAAGCAAAAGTACAACTTTTTATGCCAAGCCACAATTTCGATCACAAAAATACTGTGCTTATTAAGAGAAAATGACTTATTTACATGGAAAGTTCTTGCAAGTGCAATTATCGAGTCTTGCTAAAATATTAACTTACGCTCCAGAATTTTTTTTGCAAATATGTCTTTTCTTAAAAGAAAAGCTTCTTTTTCAATCCAAGCTACTAAAACATCACCATAATAATAAAATTTTTAAAATATTAAAAAAAAAAAAAAGTTTAATTCATGACCTTTATAAATAAAAATAAATCTGTTCAAATTCATCTCTCTCTCTCTCTCTCGCTCTCATATATGAGAGAGATGAATACAGACTGATCTAAATAAATCAATATTTGAATTGATCAGTAAAATAAAACGGTTATTTATATATATATATAATATAAAGTAAATAAAAATGAGCCTTAGGGCCATATCACCCTTTAAAGATGTTAAGCAACGTCGAGCCTTGTCAGTACCTAGATGGGTGACCTCTGAGGAGTGCCAGGTGCTGCAAGCTTGGATGTTCAGATGTTGTAATTGATAACGCCACTGAATGAGAAATCGGAGAGCCGAATTCAATTCCAATCGAATTGGTTACATTCCGTTCCACACAAATATTCTTGGGAAAAGACTTGATCGCCCATTCGTATCTCACCCACCCCCTACATATGCGCATTGGGCCAACCTGGCAGTGTAACGTTTTTTGGAAGACAAGAGTTTAAAAGAAAAATTAGAGCCTTTTTTTCTATAGGATGATTTGATACATGTATCTTTGTCCAATTTTAATCTCAGCTGGCCCTATTTACTAGAAATAAAGGTCTGTAAAAGACGCTGTTGGTGCTTTCTCATGGGCGCTGCCATTTTGTTTCAATCAGATACACTGCATCACAGACTAAGCTAAACGACACCCCAACAGACAATATAACACAATGAATTGAGGAATAGCAGAGCCGAGTTCGAATTCCAGTCGAATCCATTACATTCAGTTACGTGCTAATACGCTTGGGAAAGGTATGAAACCTCTTCTTCTCTCCCCCCGCCCACCTATGGGTAAATAGCAAGGCATACCGGGTTCTGTAGGCTTGGATGGCAACTGGTCTACCGCAGAAAGAAATGCCAACCTACTGCGGGAAAAAAATCTGCCTCGTCAGTCATGTATCGGAAGCGTTTATCACGTATGGCTTATAACTTACTGAAGTCACGAAGCCGGTCGTGTTGTATTCTGCTATGGGTCGACGCTGGTTGGCAAATAGGACTTAGCAATAGTTAGTCCATAACACAAACACAAGGAACCGATATTTTGTTATGTGAAAACGTGTATATCCGTCGATTCGGAATTTTCTTCAGTTATGGTAATTTAACTTAGATGTGGTACAAGGCCGAAAGCATGGAGCACCCAGTAAGGATAAGAGGAGATAGAACTGTATCAAGAAATCAAAAGAAAATGGTTGAATCCGTCAACACAACAATAAAAACAATATTTCTACACGTGAAAGTACTTGACGTAATTTTCAGTTGACAATATGAATACAATAGCGTTTTTTCTAAATTCTTCTAATTTCTAAGGACATTTTGTTTGTTGCTAATAGTTATTTTGTTTTTAATAAATTCGTTTCCTTTATGCCTTGAAAAAGTCAACATTGGACGAAAAGCGTCAGATAATATTTTCCTATTGTTTTTAGCTTATATACACCTACTTTTGGGGTGCGACTTAAGGTTCATTGTTTACAAACTCATCAGGTACGACATATATATATATATACATATATTTAAATCAAAAGTTACATTATTTTTTTACTTTTTAAAATTTTATTTTTATATTTTTTAAATCATAAATTATATCATGTTCCTGAGGAGTTGGTAAAACAACGAAACTTAAGTCGCACACTAACGATATATATATATATATATATATATATATATAATTCTTAGCTCTGTCTAACCACATCGAGCACTGTTATGTTTACATTTTAAATTGAGTAAATATTTATTAGCCAACCTGTGTATGCATGCTATCGCGCGCGTATACGATTACTAATATCTAGTTATTTGATTTACCTATATATATATATATATATATATATATATATATGATAAAGAAATCTGTTAGATAAATAAAAAAAACATTACTTTCTCCAAAATTCGCTTTGTTTACGTTTGAATACGAAAGTTTGCATTTCGTATTTATCTAACAGATTTCTTTATCACTCTTATATATATATATATATATATATATATATATATATATATATATATATATATATATATATATATATATTACTTTAAACGTTGTTTTTAGTAGATGATCCGTTTATTTATTAAACAGTATATTCATTTATTTTCGTTTAACGGCCTGAAAGTTCTAAAAGTCTTATTAACAAAAAAAAAATACGCTCTATAGCAGGATTCGAACCTGCCTCCAGAGAACCAATTAGTCAGGTATACCGAAATTGTATCTTTAAGCAAAAACTTAACTCATCATAGATCTCTCGAAATTTTTCGTATCTAAACGGAAGCAGTCAATTTTATAGAAAGTAAGATTTTTTTTTATTACAATTATATATATATATATATATATATATATATATATATATATATATATATATATATATATATAGTGTGTGTGAGCAAATGTACATTTATCTGTGTGAACATATTTATATTTTTGGATGAATATAATATCAAACATGTTGATATTTAGATAGATATTATGAATAAATTATTGTATGTACACCACCGTACATCTATGATGTGTGTGTGTATAATATATATATATATATATATATATATATATATATAAAACCGACCAAATGTAAAAGAACGAAGGACAAAATTGCAACGTTAAAAACATTAATTTAA